CGTTCTCAAGAGAGGCAAACATTAACGAGATTTTGAAAACGGAGAAACTGAAAAAACGATAATGATCATTCAATAAGCAATGGCAAATAATTCGAATTCCTACGAGAAGCCAAAGTAGCTGATACAACACAACACAAGTATGTAGCTTATCACGTGCATGTGACCGGCTGAGTTTAGCTCATTGCCAGCATTGTCGCTGATTCTGCGGGTACTCTGACCGCGAAGTCCTTAGGGTCGAGTTCCGATGGCAGATTTTCGACACTAGCGAGAGAGCTAGGGCGAATTCAACATCTTTCTGGAGAAGATATTCTTTTCCGTGGGTTCTCTGGTCATTAGCACACGAGTGCCCAAACATTTTCTAACGAGTGCCCTAAGACACGGGCCACGAACCGTAGATGATCTTCTCTTCATTCCTTCACATACTCTCATACAAACACACACACGCCTGCGCCCTTACATGCTCCCAAACAAACTGGCCGCACGCGATTTTTCCTTCCTCTCCCATTACACACACACACATATACACTACCACACATTCCACACAATTTTTGGAAAATTACAAAAGTTGAAACTATTTTTCTTTTATTTTGTCTTTTGCAACTTCAGTATTTAAGATAGAGACTTTTTTCAAATAAAATTTATTCTTTCCTCCTCACTTTCCATTAATGTCATGTTTATTGTTTTGCAAGTATTAATAGTTTTCGCGCAACTCGAGAGGAATAGGGACAATTAAAAAAAAACAAGTTTTTTTTTCTCAAAATAGCAGCAATTGTTTTTAGCTTTTTTACGGGGAGAGTTAAATACACTGAATACATGGATTAAATGTAATTTTGATGTAATTACTTGATTTAAAAAAATACACAATTGTAATGTTTTAAAATATTTCTCACGGTGTTAATATGTACAATATGGGCGTTTTTATACATTATTGCATTTGTGAGTAGAAAGACTTCAAATGATTTCTGATAACGTATCGCGGAAACTCAAACGTTTGCTGTGAAAATGAGCTTCATATTGTGAATTTTCAGATATGCTCAAACGACATTTTCTTAAAACGACTGCAATTTTTCGATAAAAACGTGCATATAAAAACAGGTTTTACCCCTCTATAATATTCTTAAATAATATTTCAATCTACTATTAGGGATCGAGTGTGGGGGGGGGGTGAGAAAACGTGACAAAATATCTTTTAGGCGCCAAATGATGGCAGCTGAGACGAGGGTGGGGCAAAACCGAAAAACAGCAGAGACTACAGAGATAAGTCAACTAACTAGTAAGAGAAAGTCTGTAACACTCCGAAGCTCCAGTAGTTTTCCGTGAGTTCGTTAGATTCTTCGTTATTTATCCGAATGTCCGGCAAATCGGTCTATTTGAAGCTTCGTCGTCACTGAAAGACCGCACAATGACACAACCTCCGATAACAGGCCAGGAGGCCACGAGCGACGTGCGAGGTGCGGCGCGCGGGGCGCGGGAGTGCGTTCCTGCGTAGCGCGTGCGAGTGCGTGCGGGTGCGTGCGGGTGCGTGCGCGCCGGCAGGACCGGAAGGCCGCTGCCCCAGTTCCGGCCAGCAGCGCCGGCTGGCGGTCGAAGGGCAGCGGGCGGCGGCCGACGCACGTTGCGCGGCGAAGGCAAGCGGGCGTTTGCAAGGCGCGGGCGGTGCCTTCGCAAACACTCCAATCGCACAGAAGGGATATTGTTTGATTCGAGGACGTGTTTGTGAGTGACTGACAGTTTCTTTGCTCTCATGATATTTCGTGTGCCCAATTTCCTTTCACGGAGAGGATTAGGTTAAAATTATTCCCATTTTATCGATTAAACGGAAGGGATTAGGAAAAATAAATTATGTTTACTTGTTTACACTTTTACACATCTGATGACGTCTGGTGCAATATTTTAAATTGCATATACCAAGAAAATAGTTCTTTAATATTTTACATCAGTTTTAAACCATACGCCATACAAACATTTGAGCAAACTCATCCATTTGCAATGTACATTGTAAGGACGTTCTTACATAAATATAAATTGCTTCTCATATTTCTTGAATTAATATCCTACTCCTAAATATTAGTATATCTTCAGTGGTGTCATCCGTTATATTTTAATCAACTAGAAAGAGAAAATAACAAAATACATTGTAGGCTATATATTTTTTTTGAGTGATAGTTCGATTTCCTGTAAGCAAATGAATTTCTGCAAACAAAGAACAGTGCAATGCGGCGAAATAGCTGAATTAAAAAAAAACATCTGCACACCATGAACTGCACTGACTACACTGTACCAAAACGCAGTCGCTTGTTCTAGTTTCAAGGAGGCTGGGGAAGAAAATGGCGAGAAAGGAAAGAAAGTGAGGACTGAGGAATGTCTCTTCGGAGGACATTCACTTCATTGTGGAACTGCTCAGCAGTCACTGTCGACAGCAAAAATAATTTCGGGCACTTTCTGTATGTTTTATTCATTACTTTTTCACTCTCAACAATAGCACGAAAGTTGCTCTAAAGGTCTGCGCATAAAACCATTCTTTACACAGGACAAGTTTGAAATGTGCAGACATCAGTGCTTCTATTCTACAAAATTTAATAGAAATGAAGCCTAACAAGAGAAAGTAAAAAGGAATGGAAATTGAGAACTTTAATTTCTTAAACTAATTTTCGTGTGTGGTTTCAAGGTTGCATATTTCGTGAAAGAGATAGGCAAATGCCTTTTTAATATACCTAAGACCGATGCACTATTGCAAATTGTAATGGTCATGCTTATTTTGTAAAAAAATATTCACAATTTGCACACAAATATGGATCTTAGCCTGAAAGTTAGCCGTTTCAAAGGGTCTCACACACCTTAAATAACACAAACAAACTATTACAGAATTCCTTGAACTTCACACTAAGGCATATGGATGCTCTAGGTTATTCAGACAGAACAACGCGATACGATTCGCTATTTCATAAACTTCAATAAAAGACAAATATTCAAGGACATTTCGCGAGACAAACACGTTAACTTCATATCTAAAGCAAAGTCAAAATAGTAGACTACTGGAGTGTAAATACGTTTTGTTCCAAGTACAAACCATTCATTGCCATGTGCACATACTTCACCCGAAAAGGGAGAGGGATATGGATCGCATTCGTTCGTTCTTTTACTATAGAAAAAATGTGAAACCACTCTACATACCTCTACCTCGTATTCCTCAAATGCCTAAACACAGCATTTCAGTTCACCACCAAAAACCAACGACTCCTAAAGAGCAAACACTTCAGCATGAACACGGCCACGCGGCTGAGCGTCATAGGAAATGCGTTCCTATGCGTGCTCCGGCACAAGAAAGACATTAGTTGCTCTTTTCCTCGAGCAAACATCAAAAGGTGCCCAATAACTGAGGAGCAATTCAAACATTTCTGGAGAATAAGCAAACACACTCAGCCCTCGCGCGAAGTGCGCATCTCCTGAGTCCACACTTACTCACAAATCACACACGTCATCGCAGTGCGTAAGCCCTTCACGTACACACGACTACACATACGTGCACGCAACGATACGCACCTGACGGCAGGAGACGGTTCGTCGCGCGCCGAAGTTGCTCTCGCTGCCGGTGGGGCTTGAATCTTTAAGCGGCTCTCTTATCCACCGCGAACAGAATATTCTCGAACAGAATATTGAATGCTCTCCTCCCATTAACACGGGAGGGTCTAGAGATCAGGAACAGTAAGAGGGGCCAACGCGCGCACATTGGTGCCCGAAAGGGCCAACCGGATTCATCTACCCGCCCTTCTAATCATCTGCTGGCCTTTATCAAGTCATTAAATTGGAATGTTAACATTTACCGCGCATTGCATTATCCCTTAATTACTCGTAGTACTAGCTATTATTTAGCCTACCACAGAGACCAACAACGAAGGCGAGATAAGGCTGGTGATCACACGAAGAGAATGTTACTAGATGAGCAAGTTCAATCAAGTTCTATCGTATTTCCATCTCCAGCCCCCGCGAGGGGAAACTAAGAGAATGAGCACGAAACCTCAATTTCCAGACAAACGCATTCACAATTCTAGTGAAACCGATTGAAAATGTGAAATTACAAATAGAATTGCGTGTTCTACATAGAGATGTGCAAACACAAGGCACAAATATCGTTATAATACTTCTTTTCTTTAAGTTCTGTAAAATTGCTGTTTCACGCATAAGTGATCAGTGTCACGTTAGGGAAAATCGCATTTTAAAGTTGAAAGTGGCCACGCACACAAATTCATTTGTTGTGGGGGGATCTTTGCTTTCGAGCTGACCCATATCGAGCGAGTGATTAATTCCGGATGCACATTTATAGCGCACGACATTCACTCTCCTAGCGAGTGAAACCCGGC